AACGCTGTGGACGGGGTTCTGGAAGGTACGGTAGCTGGGAGCGAGGGTTAGGGGAGGCTAGCAGAGATTTTTTGAGGAACGGCAATGCTATTTGGTAAAAATGATCAATCGATTAGTTGAAGGCACGCAAAAATGTGAATTAGGCGGCGAGAGAGAGAGAGCGAGAGAGAGAGAAGAGAGAGAGACGGTCCCAATTACTTTCGATTTTGTGGAAGGTAAGGAACGATGTTTCAAAAAATCAAAGCAACGGAAAAATTTCGTGTCCGGTTCGAGTCGAAAAGATTTCTAAATTATGCGGATTCTAAAGAGAATTGTTATTTGCCAGAAAATATTTTGCCTCGCTAAAAGGTTTGCCAAACCGGAGAGAGAGAGAGAGAGCGAGAGAGAGAGTGAGTAAGTAAGAGCATGAGAGAAAGAGAGAAAATATCACTTACACTGGCACACGAACGCGCACTTTCTTGTAGATCGGTATCTAAAGATAGATAATGGTTGTAAATTTTCGTTAATTTACCCTGGCGTATCCGATGATGCTGGGTGGTTGATACTGCATGCAACAGCCTAAAATAATGGATTTTAAGTGTTAAAACGAAAGTTCAGGATCAGTTATTCTTCGGGAGAGAGGCGGAGAGGGAGAGAGAGGGAGGGAGAGACAAGAGAGATAGAGAGCGTGAGAGAGCGATATCTCAATAGATAAAAAGACAAAATTTTTAATCAAATGTTTCATGAAAATTTGTCGGTCCCTGAATTTTTTGGGGAACAATCCTTTTGAGATTAAGGCGGATATTCTGACTTACCTGTCTGAACCACGGGCAACGAAAGGCCGCAGCAGCCCTCGGCAACGGTGATGAACCCAGCGACAGCTAGCAGGGCAAGCGGCAGCATTTTTTTGATAGCTTAAAAATACTCATAAAAAATAGAACCGCAACGACAAAAAGTTTTAATTTTCGAAGCCATCAAATAGGATTGAAAATGTGCACGTAAAGGTAAAACTAAAAAATCCAAAGCTGGAGAACCCGAGATAGCATAAAATTATTCGCGGAGTTCAAATATTCCAGGTTTTTCTGATTTTGAGCAATTTATTGGAGCGGACCAAGGAACAGAAAGAGAGAGAAAGAGAGAGAGAGAGAGAGAGAGAGAACGAGCCCCACAGGCCATCTACCCCTCAAATGTTTCAAGCTGTGAATTTTGACCGCGCTCCAAGGGAAGGGGCAATGAACTGAAAAATTTTGAATTCGGAGAAGTTGAAGACGACGGAAGACGCCTACATACGCCTAAGCCTAAGCCATTATCTTATCTTTGAAAACGCGAAAAACTGGAAAAATTTCCCGGAATCCCAAATTGTCTCTGCTAGCCCGCCCACGCGGACTGTGGAGGTGAAACAATTTCTCAAATTTTCTCTGCTAGCCTGCCTTTCGCAAAATTTGGCTAAAAATAACTATTAAGTAGAGTAGCCTCCAAAACAACAAATCGCACGCGTTCCATTATGGCGCTGGGCTGTGCCAAGTTCATTTCCCTCTTCGAGCCGCCTCTGTGATAATATTTTCGGATGTGAAGACAATGGGCAGTCAAGGCCATCTCGCCCCCCGAGGGGACAAGCCGCCGATAAACGCCTTCGAGGCATCAGCTTTTCACTTTTTCCCCCTGGAGGTCAGTTCACGAGAAAGCGGCTGCCGTTCGGTGAAATGTACAAGAAAAAAAGCGGGAATAAAATTCAAATTTAGGTGTTTCCGCAACAATCTCTGCTAGCCTGCCCTCTCCTCTTCCGCAACAATCTCTGCTAGCCTGCCCTCTCCTCTTCCTCAACAATCTCTGCTAGCCTGCCCTCTCCTCTTCCTCAACAATCTCTGCTAGCCTGCCCTCTCCTCTTCCTCAACAATCTCTGCTAGCCTGCCCTCTCCTCTTCCTCCACAATCTCTGCTAGCCTGCCCTCTCCTCTTCCTCCACAATCTCTGCTAGCCTGCCCTCTCCTCTTCCTCAACAATCTCTGCTAGCCTGCCCTCTCCTCTTCCTCAACAATCTCTGCTAGCCTGCCCTCTCCTCTTCCTCCACAATCTCTGCTAGCCTGCCCTCTCCTCTTCCTCAACAATCTCTGCTAGCCTGCCCTCTCCTCTACCTCAACAATCTCTGCTAGCCTGCTTGCGCATTATTCCATCAATTCCGCAAAAAATCCCATTGAATCTAGAAACATTAATTTTTTTTGGAAAGTTTTTAGTCCCCAATGCTCTCTGCTAGCCTGCCTCCCTTCCACAGGACTGTTTATTCCGTCACGAGTGACGAGTCGGACTCCAGGGGCTCGGGTTACCAGATTGGCGAGCGCATCAAAATAATTCGATTGCCTAGAAAGGAAGACAGTTTATCGATTTTGGGGAGGGCAGGCTAGCAGGGATTTTTGGTTCCACTTCATGGGATTCTCACTTTAAAGGAAATGGGAAGGCAAAACTTATGGTTTTTACCGAAATATTGAATCGCTGTCTTGTGACTTCGATGCGAGCTCTACTTGAAATTGTTAATTTTCTTTTGTGCTTGTTTTCTAATTTCATGAAACACCTTTTCAGTTGACAAAATGACATGGAAGATTCTGGTGTTTTTTGCTCTTAATGTGTACAGCCACGAGGCGAAGCCGTTCGCCTGGCGGAAGCAGAACAACTTTGGGACCGCCTCGAATTGGCTGAACAAGGTATGGTAATTATGGTTTTGAGTAGTTGTCATTTTGAGTTTTGCCGGATTTTAGATTAGAGCTCTTCTCGAAATAATCTACTCCCAAAGAAAATAGGTTTCGTAAATCTAGAAACATAATTTTTCCTGGGCTCTAAATATATTTTTGTTGGCACGAAAATAATTGTTAGTATTAATTATGGTATTAACTAGTGTATATTTTAATACTAAAAATAGTTCATAAAGCATAGCGCAAAAAATGTCGTGATTATATATATTCTTATAAAAACACACAGCAGTCCTTCGCTTAATAAATTTTGGCCCAAAAATTCGCGCGCTCGAGAATTGAAACATTGTTATTTTTAGGTAAAGTTTGGTAGTTTTTATTATTTTCTATTTTTTTATTTAAAAAAATTAAAGGCTATTTTCTAGCGACAACCCTGCCCCGGCGACCATATCCATATCGACTCGCTGAACGAGGTGGCCACCGCCATTGATATCAATTTGGATGTACGTTTTCTTAAGAGAAACTATAAAAAACAGTTCACAAAACTAAAGAAAATATCTTTTATCAAATATAGAAAAAATTCTGCACAAGATGCAACCTGTGAAAAATTATTGTAGGGCTACGGTACTTTGGAAAAAACTCCTGGACCGAATTTTTAGGAAAAACTGAAATCGATCGATATTGCGGCTCGAAGTCAGGTTTTTACTGCTTACTGTAGTGAAATTAATATTTTTTAAGGCTGGATTGAGGGCAGAATTTTTTGCTCTTTCGAATGAACGTTGTTCAACTTAAAACATAGTCAAGAAAACCTGTTTAAACGTTAGAAAGGTCGTTAAATTCTTTTAATTTTGCTATGAAATACATGGTTTAGCCTTCAAAAATGAAAAAAATACTATAGGGCTACGGTAGTACGGAAAAAAGGCTTAAACCCAATTTATAGGATAGGAGAAAAGCCTATACCGATCGAAATTACGGCTTTAAATTACATTTTTACTGCTTACAGTAGTGAAACAAAGAGTTGCAGGGGCTGTATTGGGCTCCGAATTTTCCGCTCTATCGAATGAACGACGATTCGCTTTGAAATAAGATAAAAATCATTTTTAAACGTGAGAAATTGTGAAAATTCAGGGGAAAAATGAGAATTGATAATTTAAATTGCATTTTTTCGGCTCTCACCGTAACCAAATAACAATTTTTGAAAGCTGTATTCAGTTAAGAATTTTTGCTCTACCAAATGAGCCTAACGCTATGTATTCGAAAAAAATCAATTTACAGGTCGCCAAAATCCTGTTCCCGACAACGGGTGTCATGTTCTTCGGCAAGGGCGTCTCGATTGGTAATTATTGAATAAAATAAATAAATTTAATTTCTTATTTGATATTATTTATTAAATATAAATATTTAAAAGCATTGATTAGATATAAATGTTTCAAAGTCTTTATTAAATATAAATACTTAAACGTATTTTCAGGCGCCGACAAGCAGGAATCTTGCCCCGAACGCGCCGACGCCGACGAGTACCCATCGCCAGGTATATTTGCGGATTTTCAGGTCCCTAATCAATTCCAAACTCAAGAGGTGTACTTCGAGGACGACGAGTTTCTCAGCGTGTTCGACCCGGCGTCGTGGGCGAGTGTCGAGCCCCGAGATTTGCATATGAACCAGATACCCAGTCAAAAGGTGCGTTTGTCTTTTCGGGACGTGGCGAACTTCTTCTAGACGTTCAGATATCCTAGTGATGTAACAGCAATATTTTAATCCTAGTTTTAATAACCAGCTGTAGTTTACATTAAAAAGGTATTTCCCGCAAAATCTCTGCTAGCGTGCCTCTAGCCAAAATTTAGGATGACGTGACGATCGACGGGAACTGGGCCACGCAGATGATGGTCGAGGACACCTGGTACTTGCGCTCGCTGAACATCGCCGGCCGGGTTGGTGCCTAGGGGTTTTTTTAAGGGCCTCCGGCAGTCTTCTTTTCAGTGTTAAATTGCGTAGAAAAACGCAAAGAAGCTTTTACAATGAATTTTTGGGTTTTAAAAGTCTAAAATAACCAAAAAAATCAAACCAATCGTCAAAAACAGAGTCAAATAACTTTACCGGAAATCAAACGCACGAACGGAATAGCAATTGGGCCAACACCAAAAACAGTGGCCGATAGTAGAAACATTCTTTCGGCAAATTTCGGCAACGACAAGTTGAATTAAATAGTATAATTGAAAGTTATAACAAGAATAAGGCAGTGTGTATAGCAAGACGATACCCGTAAGAATCTAGGAGAAATCGAGGATTTGTGAAGGGGCGGAAACAATCAGAACGGCAAGAGAAAATACATCATTTATTGGCTGCCAAACATCGGCTTCCCAAAGTTGAACAGGTTCTCAAAGTTGGGCAGCTCGGTGATGGCCTCCGTTTCGAGGGCCTGGTCGGGAAGTCGTTCCAGGGCCAGTTCGAGCTAAAAATGGGGTTAAAAAGCACAATAAAACAGTAAAAAAAATAAATTCCTATGAGCTAGGTTGGGTTTTCCCCAAAAAACTCCTGATTTTGAAACTTTGATATTTTACATAGAGAAAAATCTAACCTCCTTCTGGTCGCTCTCCACCTCGCCCTTCTTACGCTTCAGCCACTGTATCTGCTCGTTCTCGCGATTCGCCACGTTGCGCAGCATGATCAAGTACTCGCCCAGTAGATCGACCGTCTTTCGCCGATTCGTGATCTCGCGGTCGAGGCTAAAAAATATCTAAAAACTAAAAAAGGCCTTACTCTTGACAATATCCATTGACTAGTGGGGCGCTCTCGGCAATTTCAGCGAGGACTCGATTCTTCTCCTCGGCCGTCTTGATAAAGTTCAGCTCCCCGGGGTTGGCCAGGTAGGAGGGGAGGGCGGAGATCTTTTCTCTGAAACATAAAATAACAAAACGGTACTATCGCATTATCGGGGGGAGACAAATTCCTTTGTCTACGTATAGAAATGTCTGGTAACTTAATAGGACCTATTTTCTTAATGTTTTTATTGAAATAAAAAATCGGAATTTGTCCATAAAACGGCCATTTTTGATCGAAAATTGAAATTTTTGGTAATTTTTAATCAAAATCTGTAAAGTTTTTATGTTTAGGAACAGTAAAAAAAACTTAGAAATACTTCAGCTATTGATTTTTGAAAAATTAAGTCCTAAAAGATTCTTACTACCCCTGATAATGCCAAAGAACATACAAAACTTTTGACTTGCCTCAGCTCCAGATCCATCGAGGGCGGGCGCTTCTGCTTTTCCAGCGCGTTGTGCAGGCTCTTGGTCATCGCGTTGAGTTGCTGCGCGTCGTAGTTGAACGGGTTGTCCTCGGAGGCGGACTAGAACTTGTAATAAATTTAATGATTTAAATTTCCACCTTCTTGACCGGCATCGGCATGGCGGTGGTGCCCGAAGGCTGCTTGGCCTTTTTCTTCTCGGCCATTTTTGCCGCCTTCTTTTTGCCGTTGCACTAAAAAATAAATTAAAAAACCGCAAAAAAAACTCACATTTAATAGCGACGTCCATTCGTTTATATCATCCAGCCCGTAGACATTTCTCTCCCTCCATACGTCAAGTGTTCGCCGCACTTTCGCGTCTAGCGTCTCGTCGTTCAGGGTAGCTACGTGTCTGGAAAAATACGGGTTACTTCGCCCTTTCTATCATGATTCATTTTTTCTGATTCAATTAGTTAAGGCACAGCGCTTTTTACCGCTCATAAATTTAAAAAATCATAATCCTGTTAAAAATAGAAAACTATAAATTTCCAGTGCAAAAATGCCGATTTTCGACAAAAATTTCAAATGTATACAATTTCAAACTATTTTAAATTGTTTTTCGACCGGAAAATTAGCTAAATTTTATGAAAAACTTGATTAAAAAACCATCAATTTCCTGCCCAAAATAGCCGGTTTTCGAAAAATTTTAAATCTTTAGGCGATTTTCAACTATTCTAAATAGCTTCTTGGCCCGAAAATTAGCTAGATTTTATTAAAAACGCGCTAAAAGCTTTCTATGACATTATCAATAACGGTGAAGTTTTCGTTTGGCAAAAATACCGACTTTCTGCAAAAATTTCAGATTTTTATGCATTTTTAAGCTATGCCAAAACTTTCACAAACCTGCAAGCCGGCGCCATAATTGACTGTATTGCCGCTAGCGTCGTGCGGGCTTCTTCCCCGCCTAGTCTGTTCGCATTCTGGGCCACGTCGTTGATCACGTAGAACAAGACCATTATCGCCAGCGGGTCGCCGCCGGATCGGATCTTCTAAAGACCAAGACTTTGTACTAAGAGGGTCCTATTAACTTACATTCAGTAAGAAATCCATAATCTTTGAAATGTGTCGCAATCGTTGCATGATCCAGCGCCGGCAGTTTTGAATCCGATCCTAGGAAAATTTAAAAAGCTACGAAAAACTATTTACCCGCTCCGGGCTCAAATCTTCTAGCAGAGCCGCTAGCTCGGCTTCCACGAAACGCGGCTGACTATAAAAGTAATAATGAAAAGTTATAAGTATCTTTCCAACCTCGACATTTTCGTGACGCTGACTCTCTGTCCTCGTAGAACTGATTATTGAAGCGGAAACTTGATGGGAAACCCTGTAATGCGAGGGTTTATAAATATAGCGGTTTATCTAGGTAAAAATGAAAGTTTATATTTTGTATAGAGAAAGCTAAAGCTTATATGAAACTATCGAATTTCATTCCGCGCCGTTGGCAACCAAGCTACAGACCAGGCCTATGTACGCTGGCTCTTTGCGCTTTTATGGGAATTGTTTTGCTGGTGTGTACGATTCTAGGGTTTTAGTTTTTGAAAAAGTTTTGACTAACATTCGTTTTATTGGGCGTAAATCCAAAACTAAGCCTCTATAAAATTAACCTAGTTTTTTGAAAGATTCTTGCAATTCAGTCCGGCTAGCTTTTCTTGCCTTGTAACTTGTGGTTTTGTAAGGTTTTCAAATTAATCATTTATTCTCGGCCTAGCATCGTAGTAGCGGCATGAATTCATTGTTGAAGCCGCGGGCAACTGTACAAAATACACAACCCATTTCGAAATGCGCGATTTGCTGTGTGGGGGGAGCCAAAAAGAGGGGCGGAAGCAACAAAATGTTTCAATAGTTTGCGGGAGATCGATGGGTAAATGTCAGATATTAATTTCAATTGTCGGTCTTTTCTATTTCACAAAATTAAAAAATTACATGTTTTGCAAAAATATTCAGGGGCGAAGGCTAAACTGGAAATGGACCCGTTTCGGTTTTGTATTGCTGAACAAGTTTCAAAATTGCGGGTGGGGCAGAACGGTACTGGACTGTTAGCGGGGGGATCGTTTTGGTCTATTGTTTGGCACATTTTTTAATCTTTTAAGTGGTTTTTAGTTATATAAAGTTCATAAAAATGGCTAGAATTTTCGAAAATATTTTAGTTTTCGTGAAAAATGTTGGTTTTTTACATTTTTAGAATTTTCTTGATGTTTTTTTTAGGAATGTAACGCTATAAAAAGCTATAAAAATAAAATATGATGTATTACACAAGATTTTGTTAGCTTTTTACGCGGTTTTAAGTATCGAAAATACTTAAAATTGTCAGAATTTTCGAAAAATTGGGATTTTGGCCAAAAATGTATGAAATGGTTAAAAAAACTTATTTTTTACATTTTTTGAAAATGACAGCTAATTTTAGAATTTTTTTCTGATGTTTTTTGGCAATCAAACAACTATTAAAGCCGTGAACATAAGCTTTAAAAAGGTTTACATTTTTGATAGGTTACTATAGGCTGGATAACTCCCCTCCCCCGCTAAAGAACCAGTACCAAGATCGATAGAATTATTATATGGTAATAACAATAATAAGATAATAATGGGTGGACCCGCAATAATATGACACGGAGCAGGCATATCGTTTCTACACATTAATTTTTGGTGTCATCAGCTCATGCTGCCGACGGCATCGCCGATGGCCAGAATGCCCATTTTCATCTCGCGGATGATGAGCGCGGTGAAGGTGTTCCACGACTCCAGCGTGCTCAGCCGCTCCTAAAATAAGAATTATGGATATTAATAGCATAAAAAAACTAAAATTTAATTAGGTTAGCGAATTTGTGTTTTTTTTTAAAGAATTCCGGTTCTTTGGCATTACCGGTGGTGGGAGGGGGGGGGAGGGTATCAATGGTGGTTCAAATGTATCTGCCATAATTTTTACTATTCCTACGCGAAAACTTACAATTTTTTAATAGAAAAATACCGAAATATCGATTAAAATCGTTACTAAATTAATTATTGACTTGGAAGGAGAATTAAAAATAGGTAAAACCTTTTAAAACCAAACAAATACCTCCTGCGACTCGTACGGGCACTCGGCGATGATGGTCAGCAGGCTGGACTTGAACTCGCGCCACACCGACGAGGGGAAGTGGATGTTCTTGTCAAAGTGAACGGCTCCGACTCGTCGGATGCGCATCATGATGTACTACAAGAAAATTGATAGCTTAAAAAAACATATCATAAACTAAGAAATCAGAATCTATTAAATTACCTGTTCCGGCTGGCCGGTGTTCATCATCTCCAGGATCTCGGTGATGAACCCGGTGATCCGGTCGGCCACTTCTTGGTATCTGAATTTGAGAGTAGATTTTTGGGTACACATTTTGTGCTGGACAGGGTAGGGGATTTTTCGGAATTTAAGGAATCCCTGCTGGCTTGCCGTTCTAAGAATTCCTGGAGAACCTCTGCTAGTCCGCCTACCTAAATTTTCCTCAAAAAAATCTCTGCTAGCCAGCCCTCTCCTCTTCCTCAACAATATCTGCTAGCCTGCCCTCTCCTCTTCCTCAACAATCTCTGCTAGCCTGCCCTCTCCTCTTCCTCAACAATCTCTGCTAGCCTGCCCTCTCCTCTTCCTCAACAATCTCTGCTAGCCTGCCCTCCCCTCTTCCTCAACAATCTCTGCTAGCCTGCCCTCTCCTCTTCCTCAACAATCTCTGCTAGCCTGCCCTCTCCTCTTCCTCAACAATCTCTGCTAGCCTGCCCTCTCCTCTTCCTCAACAATCTCTGCTAGCTACCCATTTTTACAACATTGACACAACCATAAAAAGAAAAAAATGATTTTTGAGGTGCTTGGTGAGGAGCACATTTTGGTGGGGCAAAATATAGAAAAAAATTAGCGAAATTCAAAAAAGTAGTGGTTAGGAAAAGTAGTAGAAGAAGTATTTGCTAGTGGTAAAATTAAATAAATAAATTAAATAAGTAGAAAAAATTAAAGTAAAAATGTCCACATTTTAGACACTCATTTTACCTCTTCCCGGGTGCATCGGCCTCTTTGCGTTGGCTAGAAAAAGCGAGGGAAATAGCGGGGTATTTTTGGAATAATTGTTTAGCTGTTTTCAAAAGATTTTAAGTTGTTTCGAGTATTAAAAACGATGCTTAAATTCAAAAACATTTAAATAATTTAATTATTTACCTGGGATTCGTGATGAGGTCAAAACTGCGGCGACTGCCGTTCGAGCGCTCCAGCCCGGCGTCCTCCTCATTCTTGGCCGTGTAGCCGGACTGGTGGAGGAAAGTGGACGGGGTGCTTTAAAGGGATTGGTAACCTTGATGCTTATAGATTTCCATCTCTGCTAGCCTGCCTTCCTAATTTTCCTCAAGGAATCTGTCTTGCTCGATTTTTCTCTCCGCAAACAATCACTGCTAGCCTGCCCTAGAGGGGCTCTTCAGTGTCCACAATTCCTCAATTGGTCTCTGCTAGCCGGCCTCCGCTGTGATAATTCTGAACTTTTCCGCAAGAACATATGCTAGCCTCCTGCCTGGCTGTTTTCCTCAAAGGATCTCTGCTAGCCTGCCTATTCACTCCTAGTTCTGGATTTTTCCGCAAAGAATCTTTGCTAGCCCAAACTGCTTTCCCCAAGATTCTCCGCTAGCCTGCCTTCACTGTGCTTTATTACGCAAAGAATCTCTGCTAGCCTGCTCTTTTTGACTCTTTCCCCAAGAATCCCTGCTGGCCTGCTTTGCTCTATTTTTCTCTCCGTAAAGAATCTCTGATAGCTTGCCCGGAGGCCACCGTTCCTCAAATTGTCTCTGCTAGCCTGCCCCGACTCACCGGAAGACATCAAAAAGCGCTGGATGCTTCCTCAGCATACTGTAGAGCACACGAAGTCCAATCTGTCCATTGGTCATCCTTTGAGCTTCTCGCCACGAGCTGGTCAGCAAGTGCAGGCGATCGCCGAAGATTTGACTGAAATGGGCGTTGGCCTAGGCTTGGGCGACTTGGGTTATTAGGCTTAGCTTCGGCTTGGCTTCGGCTTAGGCTTAGGCTTAGGCTTAGGCTTAGGCTTAGGCTTAGGCTTAGGCTTAGGCTTTGACTTAGGCTTAGGCTTAGGATTAGGCTTAGGCTTAGGCTTAGGTTACTTCGAAAATCTTACCCATTATCACATATCGTCTTTTTCCGCTTCATCGTCTTCCTCTCAACAATCTTTGCATTCAGCCAATTGGAGCCTAAAAATGAGTGGGTTTTTGGATACAAAAACAGTAATAGAGCCCGGATTTTTGCTGGATCAGATGAGCACGAGCTCGTTCAAAACCGGGCTTCTCTTGCTCCATAAAATGAGCATGAACTTCGAAACACTGGGCTTCTTTTTGTTGCTTACCCTTCAAGAATATCAGCGAGTTGGTGGCCGAGTTGAGGAGGATGAACAGGTTGCTCATGTCGACCAGCCCGTACAGGTAGTAGGCGTACGTGCCCGGGTACGCAAAAACACCCGCAATTTCCATGATGTCGATCTGAAAATGACAAACATTATATTCGTGAGCTTCATCTTCAGGCATTAAAAGGACCCACGAATTTTTTTGGTCCCAAAATCTCCGAAACATAAATTTCAAACAGAACCCACCGCAAACGACAAGCTCCTAAATACGAGGAATTTTGTGACGAGCATAATCGAGATCAGCGTTTGCATAGTTTCCTTAAAAAGCTGAAAATTAGCTACAGTAATCTACCGTACCTTGATGAATATCGATCTAACAAAGAGTCGCTCATGTGGAAAAGCTGACGTCGTGATCGGTTGCTCCCCTTGAGCAGATAGATGGTGAGCAACGTGAAAACTGAAATTTGGCTTTTGAGAAATCCTCAACAATATCTGCTAGCCTGCCCTCTCCTCTTCCTCAACAATCTCTGCCAGCCTGCCCTCTCCTCTTCCTCAACAATCTCTGCTAGCCTGCCCTCTCCTCTTCCTCAACAATCTCTGCTAGCCTGCCCTCTCCTCTTCCTCAACAATCTCTGCTAGCCTGCCCTCTCCTCTTCCTCAACAATCTCTGCTAGCCTGCCCTCTCCTCTTCCTCAACAATCTCTGCTAGCCTGCCCTCTCCTCTTCCTCAACAATCTCTGCTAGCCTGCCCTCTCCTTTTCCTCAATAATCTCTGCTAGCCTGCCCTCTCCTGTTCCTCAACAATCTCTGCTAGCCTGCCCTCTCCTCTTCCTCAACAATATCTGCTAGCCTGCCCTCTCCTCTTCCTCAACAATCTCTGCTAGCCTGCCCTCTCCTCTTCCTCAACAATCTCTGCTAGCCTGCCCCTAAAAACCACTTACACAATATGAACAAGTTCGGGCCAATCGAAGTGACAAGCATCCGAAACAACAGCTTGTACCAAAACATGTACCGAGGGTCGGTGCGGAACGCGTTCACTTGGAGCTAAAAGGCTTTTTAGGGATTTTATTTTCTTTTAAAGGAGCATTGAAGGTTTGAAAGCCAAGCATAGGCCTAAGCCTGAGTCTAAGCCCAAGCCCAAGCCTAAACCTAATTAAATCTCTACTTACCTTTAATGACAGCCGCTTCTCCGGCACCAACCAGCACACCTTTGTGCCCAGCTCGAAAAAGGCCGGGAAGTTGACGGCGATTGCGAGCACGCTAAAAATATATACATTTGAGGCCTGTCATTTAAAGCTTACACACGAAGTTATGGACCTATTTTAGTTCTTCAAAGGTAAGTAAAGCTTACCTCAACAAAACCGGTAACCGGAATAACCGACGGTAAGTCGAACACAGCAAAAATGTGTGCGCCGAAACACGGCGATCCGAGCGGAAGGAATGCACGACTTTTGTGGCCCTAGAAACGGAAGTTTTCTGCGATTCCGCAAAGTTTCTCTCTCTGCTAGCCTGCCCTGTCCTCCTCAAATGATCTCTGCTAGCAGACCGTTTCCTACCCTGCTCTTTGGCTCCAGAATGATCTCTGCTAGCTTGCCCTGTGTCCATACTTCCTCAAATGGTCTCTGCTATCCTGCCCTGGGCCATGGTTCCTCAAATGTTCTCTGCTAGCCTGACCCGGGGCCAGAATTCCTCAAATTGTCTATGCTAGCCTGCCCTGGGCCATGGTTCCTCAAATGTTCTCTGCTAGCCTGACCTGGGGCCAGAATTCCTCAAATTGTCTATGCTAGCCTGCCCTGATCCCACGATTCCTCAAATGGCGTCTGCTAGCCTGCCCTGGGGCTAAATTCCTCGAATTGTCTATGCTAGCCTGCCCTGGGGGCCAGGATCTCTCCAAGATCTCTGCTAACCTACCTAGCAAATTTCACCTACCTATTCGATCGAAACGGGTCCCGTGTCGCCATGTAGCGCTGCGTAGTGATCGATACGACGCACCAGATCTGTAAGAGAATTTTATGTTTTTTTGTGTGCTTGCCTTTTATGCGATATTTGCGAAACGAACGCACCAGAAAATTGTATTTAACTCCAGCTTCTAAGTACTTGAATACTTTGTAACATATTATTTGATAATATATAATAATATACACACATATAATAATAATACATATTTTAAGATAAGATATTTCAAGATACCTTAAAAACCTTCCAACTTACCGATGCCGTATTGGCAATCTGGCTGAACGCGTGGAACCAGGGCTGGATTATCGTCAGCGCGTCGGACGTCTCGGTGCCGTGCAGCTTTTTGGCGCCGTAGTAGAAGAAGGCGCACCTAAACATGTGGGATTCAACTTGTTGAAAGGTTTAGGCTCGGCTTGGGGTTGGGCTTATGCTTAAGCTCAGGCTTACCATAGCAAAATGGTGTCCCAGACGGCTAGCGCCATCATCGAGACGGCCAGTACGACGCCACGATTCTAAAAAAAAAATCGATAAGAGCTTAGAGATAAGAGAGATAAGACCGTTTTCTTAAAAATCTCTGCTAGCCTGCCCTCTCCTCTTCCTCAACAATCTCTGCCAGCCTGCCCACTTCTCTTCCTCAACAATCTCTGCTAGCCTGCCCTCTCCTCTTCCTCAACAATCTCTGCCAGCCTGCCCACTTCTCTTCCTTAACAATCTCTGCTAGCCTGCCCTCTCCTCTTCCTCAACAATCTCTGCCAGCCTGCCACTTCTCTTCCTTAACAATCTCTGCTAGCCTGCCCTCCTCCTCTTCCTCAACAATCTCTGCCAGCCTGCCCACTTCTCTTCCTTAACAATCTCTGCTAGCCTGCCCTCTCCTCTTCCTCAACAATCTCTGCCAGCCTGCCCACTTCTCTTCCTTAACAATCTCTGCTAGCCTGCCCTCTCCTCTTCCTCAACAATCTCTGCTAGCCTGCCCTCTCCTCTTCCTCAACAATCTCTGCTAGCCTGCCCACCTTATCGAGATGCGCATTCTGCACACTCTTGATTCCATGCAAATTTCCTATCGTCCCGAGCAGCACGCAAATAGCTGTCAGGTAGCCGTTGACGATTCGGGCGAAGATTCTGAATTTTTAAGGTTACGGTGATTTACATATTTTCCATATTTTAATGCCATAGCCGCAATTAGTACTTACTCGTAGTTTTCGCGTCGCGGGTCGAACGGTCTCGTCAAGTTGCACGCGGCGACGTTGACATTGTAGGAGGCCATAGCGGACGGCTACTCACATCTCACAGCCCGGCCGCCCACACACCCGGCATCTTTAAAGGGACGTTTAGGCGAGAGAGAGAAAGAAAGTGCGAGAGAGAGCGAGAGAGAGAGAGAGACTTTGAAACGAAAAATGTTTCAAACAATCCGGCAATCCAAAAAAACCGGTTCAAGCGAATGACGAACTGACGCTATTGCTTCTCCATGAAATTTTTTGATGCTTATTATCTTTATTGCAGTTTTTTGAATTATACAGGCGTCTGAAAAAATCAAAATATTCATTTCGTGCCTCGGAAATGGCTAATAAAAAGCCCTGGAAATTCATGGGAAATTCATGTTGCAAGTAAAATATGGAGCGTGGTTTTGGAAAATTTAATAAGCAAACGCCTTGGTTCGATATTTCCTGCAGAATTTAAAGGGGCTGTTTCGGGCAACGTACAACAAGTGAAAAGCGTAAAGCGAAAAAAACAGGTGGCCAAAAATGTTCTCGAAACCCAGCAGGAGCTAAAAAAAGATGTATCACACGATGATGTACTTCAAAATTGTTTTATTGCTCTAATGGATGATGATGAGATCTCGTTAAATAATGCCTAAAAAATGAAAAAAAACGCATGAAAAATTCGGGGCATTCTATAAAACCTATAATGCTGGTTTTCCTTGGCTTGATCAACAGAGAGCGAAAGACAGAACACGACGAAAAATCAAAGTGACCTGGAAATAAAATGTTTCTAGAAGACAGGTGTGATGAATATCCAGCAACCAACTAATTCCGCTTGGCGTCGAAATCTCATTCTTTTTTGTCTTAAAAGGATCTTACCAGCTGGCTTCTCGAGTGGGAGAGGGATAAAGAGACAGAGATATAGAGTTAGAGAGAGCGAGAGGTCGAGAGAGTGAGAGAGAGTAAGAGAGAAAGAGAGGAGAGAATGAGAGGGAGATCGACAACTCACACCCTAATGTTTCACAAAAACAGGTACTATAAAGCCGCCGTTTTCAGCCAGTGCCAGATGTATTTCTTTCGTCCAAATCACCATTTGTAAAGTAGATCTAAAGACATTTTTGAGTTGTTTTTCTAAATTTTAAAAAATAACTTGAAAACTGTGATTTTTTATAAAGATAGAATTTTTCGAAATAAATCATTATCTATTAAGTGCTTTAAATAATATAAATGATCACATCAATACTTTTAATTTTTGTATGGATAGAATAATAATTAAAAATCTAAAAAGAAAGGAAAAAGAAAAAGATCAAAATAAAATAGAACAGGCAAACAAAAAAAAAACTAGAATTTTTCCGATATATCCGAAAAATTCACAAAAAAAATGTTTTGGCAGCTACGGCCTTTCGGAAAAATTGGAAACACCTAATCCTGTGAAATTTTCTTCTAGCAAACTAACGAAATGGCACGCACTGCAAAATCCAATATTTTCTTGGTGTCACGCCCCCTTTAAAAGCTAGACTTAAATTTAAGAATTTTTTTACGAATTCCGTGCTTTTTAAGACCGAAAATTAATAAATACTGCGAAAATTTATCGACCCCTTCATAAATCGACAAGAATGCCGAATATTTGCGTTTTTTGGCGCCCGGCCAAAAAACGGGCCCGTGGGCGTATCTAGGGTTTAATTGCGGGCTGCCCGTCTAATTTCGGGGTTCCGCCTTCTTTATGCCCTCACAGGGCATCCGGAGGGGAAAATCGCGTTTTTTCGGGGATTTTTGACTCAGGGAGATTGGTAAGCAGGGCGGCAGGCAAGCAGTGACAATTTGAGGAATCGCGGTCCTGCGCTGGCAGAGACGATTTGAGGAGATATGGACCTAGGGGTAGGCTAGCAGTGACAATTTGAGGAAATGTGGCAACAGGGCAGGCTAGCAGAGACAATTTGATCGCTCCAAAAAGTTCCGCGGCTCCGGAGCAGGCTAGCAGAGGCAGTTAGAGGAATCTTGGCCCCCAAGGCAGGCTGGCAGAGACAATTTGAGGAAATTTGGCCCCAGGGCAGGCTAGCAGAGGCAATTTGGGGAATTGTGGCCCCAAGATAGGCTAGCAGGGACAATTTGAGGAAATGTGGGCGCCGGGGCGGTGGCAGAGACAATTTGAAGGCCTCTAATCGATCCGCAGCGCCGGGGCAGGCTAGCAGAGACAATCTAAGGAATTCAGGGTTGTCAGTCCCTTTAATGGCGGAAAATCGATAAAAGCACAAAAAGCGAAATTATCCAATTCTTATGTTTCAAAATAAATATCAAGCAAAACGGAATCCAAATTTTTAATAAAGCGTGGGATTTTGTCAAAAATCGTTATAAAAATATCCAGAATATTTCTAAGCTTCTCAGTGGGACGGGCAGTAAGAAATCATCCACCTAGGACACCCGGAGAGAGAGAGAGAGAGAGAGAGAGAGAGAAGAAAGAGAGAGACAAAAAAACAAGACGACGGCCGGCAAAAAATGGTCATCCCGACAATAAGAGGCGGATCTTGGCAAATCCGTTAGAGGGCGGGGCCTAAAAAAAAGATTCCAGAAAGGCCACAACTTCTGGAAAGGTTTTGCCTATTGTTTTTTCCAGAAATCTGTAGCGAAAATGCCAGCGCTAATCCTAATGATCGACCAGGGGTTTCAATAGGATTTAGGGGCCGAAAAATAGATTTTTGGAAGTTCTTTGTGGGATTATTTGGACCGGATTTCCGAGATTTAGATTCCTAAGCATAAGTGCAATCCCAAGCCCCAAATCTAAGCATACGCCTAACCTTGCGCCTAACTCTAAGCTAAGCCCAAGCCTAAGCCCAAAACCCAAGCCAAGCCTATGGTAAGCCTAAGCCTAAGCCTATACCTAAACCTAACCCTAAGCTCAAGCCAAAGCCTCAAAATTAACGTAAAAATCATCGACCAGCTTGGCAACCACCCAAACACGGCCCCGCGCCGGATGCTCATTGTCTCTCTGTTTTTGCGGGGTGCCCAGCGGCCACTTTTTCGCGTGAATGGCCGCGTTCTGGAGGAGGGATAAAACACAAAACGGCCCAAAGGCTACACTCTTATCTGTAAAAAAAGAGGGCAACTTTCGAACAACGAAAAGTCTTGCGAGCCCCTTTAAAACACGGGATGGGCGAAATAAGGGTTCAAGTCCCTTTAAAAATACAAGCCTCTTCAACTAGGGGCAACTAGCAGAGATTGTTGAGGAAGAGGAGAGGGCAGGCTAGCAGAGATTGTTGAGGAAGAGGAGAGGCAGGCTAGCAGAGATTGTTGAGGAAGAGGAGAGGGCAGGCTAGCAGAGATTGTTGAGGAAGAGGAGAGGGCAGGCTAGCAGAGATTGTTGAGGAAGAGGAGAGGGCAGGCTAGCAGAGATTGTTGAGGAAGAGGAGAGGGGCAGGCTAGCAGAGATTGTTGAGGAAGAGGAGAGGGCAGGCTAGCAGAGATTGTTGAGGAAGAGGAGAGGGCAGGCTAGCAGAGTGTTGAGGGAAGAGGAGAGGGCAGGCTAGCAGAGATTGTTGAGGAAGAGGGAGAGGGCAGGCTAGCAGAGATTGTTGAGGAAGAGGAGAGGGCAGGCTAGCAGAGATTGTTGAGGAAGAGGAGAGGGCAGGCTAGCAGAGATTGTTGAGGAAGAGGAGAGGGCAGGCTAACAGAGATTGTTGAGGAAGAGGAGAGGGCAGGCTAGCAGAGATTGTTGAGGAAGAGGGAGAGGGCAGGCTAGCAGAGATTGTTGAGGAAGAGGAGAGGGCAGGCTAGCAGAGATTGTTGAGGAAGAGGAGAGGGCTGGCTAGCAGAGATTGTTGAGGAAGAGGAGAGGGCAGGCTAGCAGAGATTGTTGAGGAAGAGGAGAGGGCAGGCTAGCAGAGATTGTTGAGGAAGAGGGAGGGCAGGCTAGCAGAGATTGTTGAGGAAGAGGAGAGGCAGGCGAGCAGAGATTGTTGAGGAAGAGGAGAGGGCAGGCTAGCAGAGATTGTTGAGGAAGAGGAGAGGGCAGGCTAGCAGAGATTTTTCAGGAAATGTTGCAGATCCTCTAAATTCCAAGATGATCCAGATGACGCTCGAAAAACCGGGGCCCTAATTCCATTTGCTTAGGGAATCCGCCCCCCGGAATAAGGGAGGGGGCCATTCCGGGCCCTTGGGCCCCTAAAAGAAGAAGCCTAGTGAGGGGTTCACCCATTTTTTGAGGGGTGGAAATGGCTAGAAGAATGGGCCAGAATAGCCATCTGTGGCTTGCGGCTCTGGACCCCCCACTTTTCACCGCACCCCAAAAAATATGCCCTCTGGTTGAGGTCATTCCCGGTCGGGGGGAGTATGAGCGCTGAGGAGGCGTCATTGGAACGGGTGGCCCGGAGTTGGATTTATGCTTTATTGGGTCAGGAACGTCGAAAGGTCCGGGCAAGCCTAACAGTAATCGTTTTGGAACTGAGGCAAGCTAGCTGAAATTCATGAAGAGCTAGGCAAGCTAGGAGGGACCATCTGGGAATCGAGGTAGTCTGGTAGAGATTATTTATGAAACAAGGCAACGAGCCAAGATCCTTTGGGAATTGAGGCAGGCTAGAAGGGTTTCTTGTGGAATTAAGAGAGGCTAGCAGAGATATTTTAGGAATTTAGCCAGGGCAGCAAAGATCATCTAGGAAGCGAGGTAAGCTAGCAGAAATTCTTTTGGGGATCAAGTCAGGCCAGCAGAGATCCTTTAGGAAGCATGCGGCTGCAGAAATTCCTTAGGAATTAGGGCAGGCTAGTAGGGATTCTTGGTGAATCGAGGCAGGCTAGCAGAGATCCTTCAGGAATCTCGGTAGACTAGTAAAGCGGTTTTAGGAATTGAGACAGGCTAGCAAGATGCTTCAGAAACCGGGGCAGGTTGGCAGGGGTCCTTGGGGAATCGGGAAAGCTAGCGGACTTTCAAGCGGACTAGCAGAGGTCATTTAGGAATCAAGACATGCTAGCAAATAGCTTTTAGCAATTGAGGCAGGCTAGCAGGGACCTTTCAAGAAAAAAAGTGACGATTAGAGAAAACTAGCAAAGATTCTTTAGGAAATATCTGCACCAT